GTTAAGGTATACTCTGCATTCCAAACCTTCAACCCTGTACGCTATATAGTATGTCGTAGCCCGTCGCAGCGAATTCATGCTTTTTTCAGGGCTTCTAGACGGGCACAACACGCCAAATGACCCTCATTTTTAACCAAATTTCCAAACAAATCCCTAACACCCGAAGAAGCCTCAAAGAAGCCTCATGAAGCCCATACTTCATACAGCATTGAAACTCGCAACAACTCCCTGAAACCCCAAACACAGAGCAACCAAAACTCATGTCAAGAAGAGCTGACCCCAGACCCAGAATAAACAAGCCTTGGAGCCTGTAACAGTAAGGGTCCATGTACCCAAACAGTACATAGGGCCTTTAAGGCCAAAGTTCTTACTATTTTAGGGTACCCCAAAGCCTTAGAAGAAACTTTCCGCCCCAATAAGTCCTACCCCTGAAGCTCCATCCAAGCACCAAATAGTAAACCTTCACCACAAATTCCCGAAACCCTTAACCATCAACCCTGCAACCCTTAAGACAGAGCCCCAACAGAAGCTTTGAAACCTGAACCGTGAACCCTGCAAGTCGTCGTAGCCTAGACCGTAATGCCTTTAATCCTATAGTCTTTGAAGCCCATCAACAAAGTTTTACTAGAAGTTGCGACACCCTAAGCCGTAAGCAATAGGCGCTAGACCCTAAAGCCGCGAAGCCCATAACCAAAGCCGTAAAGCGAAACAATGAAGACTACGTACCCTAAAACCTAAGCCCTAAACCCTAAACCCTAAACCCCTAAACCCCTAAACCCCTAAACCCCTAAACCCCTAAAACCGAAGCCCTGAAGGGCGGCAAAAGAGAAGAAGATGCTCGTGAAGGAGGAGCCCTCAGTCAAGGACGCTGCTGCGAGCGACGTGCTTTGTTCTCCTAGGTAGGGGTTTAGGGTTTAGGGTTTAGGGTGTAGGGTTAGGTGGGGTTTAGGGTGTGTAGGCTTTCAGGGTTTTAGGGATTAGGGTTTAGGGTTCTACGGGGTTTATAGACGTGCTTTGTTCTCCTAGGTGGGGTTTAGGGTGTGTAGGCTTTAGGGTTTTAGGGATTTAGGGTTTAGGGTTTTACGGGGTTTGTAGGGTTTCATGGTCAATGCCGCTTTCGAAGCATTGATGACCTTGATGACTTGTTCTTTTTACTGCTTCTTTTCTTCATGATCATAGTCTTCTCATTGCCGTTTCCATTACGAACTTCACGATCAACTTATGCTGCTCCTCAGCCTAAGGCAGTCTCCATGTCGTCGCGAGCTTTAATTGGGGCGGATCTGAGGTTGAAGGCTTGGGGGGGACGAGGTTGCGGGGTTCAGGCGTCGGGTTGTGGGTCCTGGGGTGCAGGAATCAGAGAGCTTTCGGGTCTTAGGTTTTGGGGATTCGGGTATGTATTTAGGGTTTAGGGTTTAGGGTTTAGGGTTTAGGGTTTAGGGTTTAGGATAGGATCAAGATGAAGAGGTTGTAGTACCGCCGTTGTTGGATAGCCTTTGTTCTGGTTCGGCACCTATTGCGCTGCGGTCAGATGAGCCCAACACCAACTCTCCGAGCCTTACAAAAAATGTGTAACCCTTCCGATCCGTGTACAGCTACCCTAATTAAAGCAGTTCCTTTTTGGGGTTCATATATAGAATCCTATAAGGTAACCCCAAAAAGGAACTACTATGGGGCCTATGGGTAGTTGTGTCAGGAAGCAAATAACCATAAACATCCGGAAGCTGTATACACCCTGAACCACGCAAATCCCTGGCCCCTGGACCTACAAACCCTATATAATATCCAATACGAAACTGCAAACTCTGAACCCAGAAGTCAAAAGCCATAGAAACACCCTTCAAAGTCTGGTTATAACAACCTGTATAAGTGCTACAAACATCGAATAGACATATTTCAGAGACCCTACAAACATTCCAAGACGACTCGATCCGACGGAACCCCCCAAACCCTAAACCCCAAACCGTAAACCCTAAATCCTAAACCCTAAACCCTAAACCGTCGCAGTCTATGTTCAGGAGAAGGCCCCCGAGAAGCCGCAGCCGCCCGCCGAGGTGCCTGCTTTGGTTTCCATGTGACGGCAGAGATAACAAAGAGCAAGGGCTCCATAAGGGTTCCTATAAGGTTTGAGGGTCTATAAGGGTTTAAGGTTTAGGATCCCATAAGGATGCCTATAAATATACAGTGAATCCCAGAAAAAAACATGGAGCTAGGATGATCAGTGCTGGGATCCCCTTTACTGTACCTTAAGAGCATGAGGAAAATCATCGTCCAACTTCCTGGCTTCTACTTTAAAGATTGAGGAGTGCAGGGCCCCAAACCCTAAACCCTAAACCCTAAAACCCTAAACCCTAAACCCTAAACCCTAAAACCCTAAACCCTAAAGCCCTAACCCTAAACCGGCTTCTGTAGTGAAAGTTGCGAGCTTCCCACCCAGAGACTCCAAGAGCCTCTAGCGAATGATGTTTTTTTTTTTTGTCTGACGGTTTAGGGTTTAGGGTTTAGGGTTTAGGGTTTTGTTTTTTGCTTTGGGCATTTTTTGTAGATTGTCCGCCATGGCTCCGTCCCCCGGCTTTGTCGCGCGTTGCCTACTGGCCCTGAGCTGCCCTGCACTGCCCGTCTTGACG